TACTGGTAGTTCGGTTTGAGGTTCGAAACCCGCGAACGGGCTGGTTGCATGAGCGTTTTCGTAGTTTTCCCCATGTGTAACGTGTATACGAGTCAGTTTCCCGTAGAAACTCCTCCACGAAGGCATTCCTTCCCTTACGCAGATAGCCCTCGAGTCTTTTGCCATAATCAAATAAACCAAACCAAACCTATATTTGGGTTATGGTGCCTCATTGAGATTCGTACTGCCTTTACATGCTGTATTTTGCGTACACTTTTCAGTTAACAGCTGGATATATGTTTTCTTCACCAGCTCAGCAGTTTTTCTATTTTTGAGGATGCTTAGTGCTGCGGATGCTATTAATTATTTTTTCATACTTTGAAACTCTCATCGCTGATAAATTCTTCAGTGATATATTCGAAAGTATTTAATTTCTCGATGACGTTAGGTCCTAGCAACCAGGTACTCCGGTGTTGCAGTACGATAAAACAAACAGATTAAAGATACTTAATAAATATAAATTAATAATAGATAAAGACTTAATAATAGATAAAGATTAAAGATATTAGCGCCACCACCTTGGCGAAATATCGCCATTTCTTACATATGGAAAGAAGTTGGTGGTTTTCGCGATTTAAAAAAAAAAAAAATTCCAAGTTATTGATATTTATCTTTAGCCGGCAGACATCAACATATGGAAAGAAAGCACGCATTAGCAATTTTAAACACAAGTTTTAATTCTTAAATAAGGATTACATGATATTTTTTTTTAATAAAACACTTATATTTGTGTCCGTATTTTTTTGTAATTTTTTTGGGCCATTCTTCAAGTGCACAATGATCTGTTTTCGCTTAAAAAAACCTCAGAGAATTCCAGAGACGGCATTGCGAACTCCTCGTTTTAGAAGTTTTGCTGCAAAATTTTATATTACTGTAGAAATTTTACCGCAATTTCTTCCATTGCTGCTAAATTCCACAAGCACATATTTTAAAATATCACGATTTATAAAAATTGCTGAAATTTTAAATACAGCGAAGAGAACGTATACGGATTGTTGTGAGCCTGGTTGCCTATAGAATGGTATGCATGCTTGCCAGAATTTGGCGCATTCCGAAAGTTTGGCGACATTTACTAACCTGGTTGCGATAACACGTAAGTACCAGATTAAATTCGAAATAAAAACTAATTATCATACTCTTTGCCAAGTGACAAAAAAACTGTCGCGTGGAAGATAAAATTATTTTATATTGGGCAGTGGTAGTGAGTGCATTTCTTTTGAATTGCCGAATTATTAATTGCCGTGTTTGTTAATTCAGAATTTATTAAATTTGCACAGAATATGAAATAAATCAAAAACAAATCTGAAATTCAAAATTCTGCCTTCTCTTTTATTCTGGTGGAGGACTACGTGTGTTCAAATTTTGATAGCTCTAAGTGCCGCCGTTTATCCTCAGTGCGAGGAACGTACTTACAGATTCGTCATCATTTAATAATAGAGAAAAACAGCCAATAGGCAGAGCGTTAGTGCATATCTGGTTTTGTAGAAAGTTGGGGGCTTATTGCCCTAAACGGAAAAGATACTACAAAACTTAGGATGTGTACAGCTTTTTTTACATATGGTACAAATGAAACGCTGCTTAAATTTGCTTTTTGAGAAAGGTATAGTGAAACCAAAAATATCCGTTACACTTATAAGGCAGGTTAATATGTTCGTACATTTTTATGCTTCTTGAACTTAGCCCAAAGGGCGTTAGCCCAGAAGTGTTATTATTAATTTCGTTTTGGCCATCAAATTTTGAATAACGGGCATCGTCACCCGAATACGGGCATCTGGAAGCCCAAATTTGGAATTTGTTATATTATCTATTTCCTATTTTGTAAAGAATTTATGAGTTTTGATTAAGAAACTCAACGATTGCAAAACGAGCAATGACAGCACTGTACGGAGAGGGGTTTGAGAACTATTTTTATTTCCAGCCTGTGAGACTGTGATGTATAGGAAACTCTAAAGATCTGCTTTTTAAAAATTTTGTGATATTGCTGTGAATTTTGTGGTTTAAGTGCGAAGTTCATGATGTTTAATAAATAAAGATAACACACAAAACGTTAAAAAAAGCGCCTCTTTGGGCGTAATATAAAACTGGGGGAAAAAAAAAAGGTGTTTGTCGCTAAGGTACGTCATCGATATTTTACCTACTTCATGATAAGCTGTCGAGTTATAATTTTATTTGCTCATTGTTTGTGGATGACAATATAATGCAGTGAAACGATTTTTTTTCGAAATTTATGTTTTTTAAATTTAATGTTTAAACGGTTTTTAACATATAATTTCGTTTAATGAACAGACTGAAAATCTCGAATTTGCTGTTTTCACCATCGGATAGAGAGCAAAATTTTTAACGTAATTTCTGATAGCGCTGAGTTTTTTCCGACTGTTTGACTTCCATGTTTTTAAAATTTCAACATCTGAGAATATATTGTGTGTAAAGTTTCAAATTTTCACTGATTATAAAACTAACTCCTTGCCCGCTTTTAAAACAAGAATGATAAAAAGAAATCTATTGGACGATTTTCTACATTTTCTTACAAAATATGTTACGGTATGAAACAGAAAGGAGAAGTATAGCTTTTTCTTCGACGTTGGTGGGAATCATAGTTCCAAGGTTCTAATTTTGTTATTTTCACACCATTTTTATTCCTCTACCGTAGAAGTTCCCTCTTTTAAATGAAGTTTATATGAGATTTTAACGTAATTTTTGAATTTTTGGCAAATTCGCTTAAATTTTTCTATCATCCATTTCATTTTATAATTTATCCATTCCTTTTCACAGTTAGAGTAATTTTTTTCCTTCGCTGTCTCGTAATTCTCATAATTATTTGTTTCTATGCATGGATAGTGAGTGCCCTCGTGTAGTTAGTTTAAAGTCTGAGAAGTTAAAGGTGCAATGCTTTAATGCGATCGCAGTATCTTATCAGTGTTGACGTGATTTGAAATTATCTTGATTAACATTCGATTCTATCTGAATAGCCCTGCTTTCGGCAAATAATAAACGGCGTGTTACTTTTTTTTTTTTTTTTTTTTTTTTTTTTTTTTTTTTTAACTTCGGCATTTCCTTCTTGGGATTGATGCGTTTAAAAGCGCGCTATTCTCCGAAAAATCTTGTTCTTTGTTTATATTAAAAATAGCCCAAATAATTATTCCTTTGTATCCCACTGCCATCGCTGAGGCGTGTGCTTTTTTTTTTTTTCATTGTGACGTAATAAAAGCGAAACTTGAGAATATAATTGAATTTCCAGTTCTACGCGTAGACGATCATTTAGTCCAGTTGCCTGATGGAATATTTTAATAATTGGAGCTTCTTTCTGACGCTTCAAAGATTTCTCTCCCCAACCTTTTGACTGGCGTTTTTTAAATTTTCTTGCATTTCATTTGTTTATGCTTTGATGAGGTTCTTTCATAGGAGTTGCAGCTATATGTATTGCACGAAAAATGTATCGTGAATCCATATTTCAGAGGTTGTTGCGCTAACTGTTTGAAAGTTTTTTTTTTCCTAATATTGATTTTATAGATTGGAAAAAAAAGATCGTGCTTTATTAATCCTCTTTTTATGGCAACAGTTAATACTGTGTAGTGAGGTGCGGAATAGTTCCAAAAATCAGGTGTATTTACCACGCATTGCCAAATTCCTTCTCGCGAGCCGACGTCTTTAAAACTGACTTGCGGGACACTTGCGGCTTTTTGCCTCCTAAAGTGCGATTTGCTTCAATAAACAATAATTGAATTTTCAAAACACAATTGGATTTTAGAATATAAATCATACAATAACACGTTTTTTTATTAATGAAAAATTAAATTTTTCAAATTATATTATCTGTGTATTCATTTAATCGATATCAAACTACCGCATGCTGATCGTCAGAGTAACAAACAAAATTGCACGTAATTTTGTTTCTGCCAGTTACTATCACGGTCATGTTACCTTTGAGCAGATAATGGCCATCGGAATAGAACAAAGTAAATATTCAGACACGGAATGTACTTAGTCTGATATTTTTCTTTCAGCTTAATTGTATTCTAGGCAATTTCTGCTTACATTCCTTCTGTGTAACCCTATTTTTATTTAATGCTTGAATGTCTTGGATAACTAACTGCTCTTCCAAAGAGGAAAATCGTTTCCACGCAGGGGCTATTTCATTTGGGGAAGAACCAGTACCAGTAGTGAATTAAAGCAAAGTTATCTGCTCTGGTGAATTACTGCCGATTTTACGGCTCATGACTTTCCTAAGTCCATGGTGTGTGAGTGTTTCCGCGAGTGCAGATAAATAACGACATAATTGGGGAAGACCTTGAAATCTGAGTATTTTATAATTGATGAGACAAAACTTCTTGCTCGAACTTTGTTTGGAGACTTATCACAATTTTCTCAATTTTTTTTTCTTTCAAAATTAATTACTCATCCGTAAGCAAGTCAGGTCATTTTTATGCAGTTTCTTAACACTTTTCGCACTCAATGCTGTGGTTAACACTTTTTCCACATGAAACTTTATCTTTCGTGATAATTCCTTTGTAATCCTAGGCAGAGATTATCATTTATTTCGTCAGTTATTGAGCATATTGAAATTTTTGGTCTTGTGGCGGAATGTACTTTTCCACTGAATTAAGAACAATTTCAACTCTGAAAGTTTTTAATTCAACGTTTTGTCAGTTGCCGTTATTCGAGACAGAAATCCTTCATTTTTACTGTAGGGTTCTGCTTGTATAGAAGTTTAACTGAAAGTTTTTCAAACCCTTCTAAGAAACGAACTATCGCTCCTGCCTGGACTCAAATGACGGAGTCTTAGAAAGGCTAAAATAACCTTTTTATTGAATTTTTTTTAGCTTATTTTATTATGTTTTATTATGCTTATTTTAATAAATACATTTGGTACTAGAAGAAAGCCTTTTATATCATTTTTAAGCATATTTGAATAGTTGTAAAAATTTTTACTTAAATTATAAGCCACTTTCTTCTCCTTTCAGGTGTATACAGTAGTTCAGTGGAATCCACTTCCTTTCTAGGTGGGGCATCTACTCCACCTTCTTGTAAAAGAAATGATGTGGTAACGTAGCTTTTAAAATCAGCTATTATATTTTTGTAAAGTGTAATAATTTTGACCATGTGACATTTTTTACTAAAAATATGAAAGTTTTTATGCAAATTTGTAAAAAAAAGGGAGGGTTGGAGAAATTTTTTTTTTTTTTTTTTTTTTTTTTTTTTTTTTCTTCTTGTTGAATAAGTCAGTGGAAGGGAATCCTATAATCAGAGTTACTTGAGATTTAATCAGTGTGAAAAAGTTAGCACGAGCTGTTGCTCACATAAATGAGGACTTTGTGACTGAAAGAAAGAGGACATCTCCTGCTATTGGTGAAAATCATGGCCGTCTTGTTGATCATGGTATAACTTTGCTTAACTCCATCCTGATTTTGATACAGATCATTCTGGGATGGACAAAATCTAAAGATCTTCTATTTTTCTTCCCTTATCATCAATCTCCTGTGGAGACTTTTGGCTCAGATAATTTTAAGTACCCCTATGCCACAAAGATACTATACATTTACAAACACCATATGTTCTCTGAGATTCAAACCTGTGCCCAGTGATATAGCAGCTACTACTGTTGATCACCACACCAATCAAGGTGGCCCTTGTTTTGATTCATAAGGGAAACCCATGTCATTACATGCACATATTGTAGACTTTAACTGAATATTAAAGCCTTCTAAGTAAGAATATTGTGCAGATGCTCTTTAGAACAGAAAGATATATATACATATATGTTGTATTTTAATGCATAGGAGGAATCGGGTACTTTTTAGCAGCTTTCAATATCCGTCATGGTTGATGGTCAAGGCATACAGATAAAGATAACAAAACTGGATTTCGACAAATCAGCAATCTTTATTTTCGCGCATATCAAAAATCATCCTTTTGTAGAGAAGATATTTTTTAATCATAGTGAGAACCCAATAATTTCCATGTACACAGGTTTTAAAAGTATGAAGTAAGCATTTTGGAGAGGACAGCATGAGCAGCAATGAGTTGGTTGCAGGGTAGAAGCTAGGGAAAGGAATGACATAGTTATTTTGCAAAGAGTATTTATACCTAGTAGATGCAAAAAGTACTCAAAGCTGTGATTGGTTAATTTTAGTTTTAGTTACCCTTTTCAAGCAGCGGTGTGTAACATGGAAAGATCTCGAATTCAGGAGAATGTATGACTTTAAGGAGGAGAACATAAAATCTAGAATAGTTAATTTTGAGGTCGCCAATTATTTCTTAAATCAGCTATTGTATTTTGTTATACCTTACATCTATATATATACAGTATAAAAGTCTTTAATAGTCTTTAATATACAGTATTAAAGTCTTTATTCCGGACTTTGGTGATTCTGGATTAGGGATTTTTCCGGATTATAGGTCATGAGTTCAAATCTGGTAAGATGGCATGCAGAAATTATAAAATTAAAATATGAAACCATAATTTATGAAATAAAGAGCAATTATGATCTAAAGGGTATCAAAATTTACAAAAACAAAAAAGCTTAATATTTATTTGTTTACTTTATTAAACATTTCTTTCAATGTAAGTTGTTTAAGTTGCTTCGTTTTATATGCTAATACTTTCTCTTTAATTCTATAAACAGACATAATTTCTTGTTCAGTTACAAAGTTCCGCTGTTCAAGTTCTGTAATTGCTGTGCCGAGAATGCCGACTAACTTGTCAATCGAAATTTTTTCGTTTTCACTAACCTGTCACTTTCTTCATGCCTTTATTCATTTTTTGCAGCAATTCCACTTTTTGTTTGATCGACATCGAAACATGTTTTCGCTTTGTAGATCCTTTGGCAGCTCCAGAATCAGAAACTCTTTTTGACATAATCGAAAGTTCAAGATTACTTTTTATAAAATTGCTCTAACAGTCTGCAAAAAACAAGCCAGATCCAATTAGAAGATTAAGGAACAACGCAATCTGCAACATTAACTGAAATAGATAATTAGATAATTTTAGCCTAGCTTATACCGTTCATTATACATTAAACGTGCATGCGTAAACGTATTATGTGCATGCATAAACGCATATGCGCTACGCATGCACAGAAAGTTTGTAGCTTTGAGGTCCGGATTACAGATCATTCCGGAATATGGACGTCCAGATTAGACTTTATACTGTATATAGTTTACCTTTATTTTCCTTCACCTCAAAATTTCTATTTATCTATATGTGTGTATGTATATATATAATGTGTATTATTCTGGAGATCTGTTGAGAAAATGAAACTTATTGAAAATGTGAACAATATTTTTTTATTGTATAACGTTGTTGATGATATGTTTCATATTTTATGTTTAATTTCATAATTAATGTTAAAAGTGGACTTAAAATGAATATTTTGTATGTTATATTATTATGTCTTATTTTTACAGGCAGCTGAACCAAGTAAAACTGAAGCAGAGAGAATGGCAATGTACAAATGCATTTTAAGTAGTATTGCAGATAGTGAAACTGTATATATAGAGTGCCTAAACATGCTACTGCAGGTAATTTTAATAATAAATTATTAGCATTTATTTGCAAATATTTTTCTTTACTGCATCTTTTTTAAAAAATCTTGATTGTAACTGCAGTGTAAAATTGTCGTATCAATGGACTGCTGTATCTTCCACTGCCAAAAATCTAAGCAACACTTACAGAAGTTTTGGCTAAACTCAATTTTTAATGCATTTATTTATTATCTTAACCATTTTATATATAAGTCTATTCCTCAGTTTTCTGCTTATTTTTATAATGTAATTCATATCTTAGTTTAGAAACTTAATGAAACTATGTGTAATCGTCTCTGCTTTTTTCTTTTGTCATGTGCATGCTTATCAAAAAATAGTGCAAAAACTTGAATACATGAATGTTAGTACAATATTCCCATTCCTCAAATATTAAATTTTTTTCTGAATGTTCTTGATGTGAGAGCATACAAGCACTGACATAAATAAAATGCCAATAATTTTCTGACTTGAAATGCCACAAGTGTTATTTCTTCTTGATATATTATGACATACCAGTGAATCAGTTTACTAGTTTTATATATCTTGTATACTGTTGTGCACTGGGTAATTATAAAAATAAGCATTCTAATAATCATTTTGTTTTGTATAATTGAATCCTTATTTTTTAAGCAGTCTCGTAGAATGCAATGCAAAATGTATTATTCATGTATATATCTTAGAAATATTTATGTCTAACGTTCTTTTGAAAATTTTATTATTTTAGTATATGAAAGCTTTAAAATCAACAATAGGAACTTCCCAACCATTGTTATCATTAGATGACTTCAATGTGATATTCTACAGGATCCCTGAACTACATAGTCTCCATCTAAATTTCTTAAAAGGTCTGAAGAAACAGATTGATGGTTGGAATGGTAGTCAATCTATAGGAGAAGATTTTAAAGTCCTGGTATTTAGTTTTTGAAATCATTTATTTGACCTTAAAAAGTTGTATTGTGATGTCATATAAATATATATATTTTAATGCAAAGCAGTCAGACATAACTTAAGTGCATATTATGCTTTGGTATGTCTGAGGGAGTATCTTAGTAAATTAGAGGGTAAAATTAATTTCATATTTTATTATATGTGAAATTATGTATTTTAAATAATATTTCTGTATTATTTAAGTGTATTTAATTCTTTTATATATTTAAGTTATATGTTAAAACAGATATTATCATGGGGTTTCATGGAATGAAATGTAGTAGTCTAAACAAATAAGCATGAGTAATTTTATTTTGAAGAAATAAAATTTGCAAAAAGCATTTGCGCCTTTTTTTTTTTTTTTTTTTTTTTTTTTGAGGAAGATGGTTCGGTAAAACCATCGAAACTAGTCCTGTGAAAATTTGAAAATATAATGCTGATTTTTGTTGTTTCACTTCTAAATTAATATTTGTTCGGCATGTCGTTGTATCTTAATTAGTAACACTTATGTTATAAGGTATTTCTCCTGCCTTCTTAGCATACCTTCATAATATAGTGGTCAGCACACTAGGCGCGTATTCGAGAGGTCCGTGGTTCGAGTCCAGGTGAGGGCATTGCTCATTTTTCATCGCTCCCGCTTTAAAAAAAAAAAAAAAAAAAAAAAAAAAAAAAAAATCCTAATGACTCTACAGTGGTGCCGAATTAAAAAAGGTGATGGATGTTGATTCCCCACCACCAAAATTTGAATGAATCCCTAATCCCCAGTCATCCTTTAAAAGGGGGAGTATATAAGGTATTTCTCCCACCTTTTTAGCATGCCTTCATGGTGTAGTGGTCAGCACACTCGGCACGTATTCGAGTCCCAGGGAGAGCATTCCTCATTTTTCATCTCTCTTGCCTTAAAAAAAAAAAAAAAAACTACCTAATGGCTCTACAATGCTAATTAGATATTTTGATTATCAGCTAATTGCTAATAAAATGATTAATGATTATATTTTAGATAGAATTTTTATAGAAATTGGGAAACATCTCTAACTTTTTTTAAATCTTTTTGTGTTTGCTTTCAATAGTTTCATTTTGTTTTTCCTGTTATTTTGTAGGCAAGTAAGTTAGGAGTGTATGGATCTTTCTTACAAAATTATTCTAAAGCCATAGAGACTATAAGAAAATGCAGTATTGATAATTCGAAATTTTCAGAAATTACTAAGGTAAGTAGTAATGTACCAAAAATGTTGATACATGCAAAAGTAAGCTTATTTATAATTTTAAAAATTGTAAATTAATTATAAACACTGACATACATCTTTTTTTCATAAGTCATTTCTCTTTGCAGTCCATCAAATTAAAGGCACTTCAAGGACAGTCAACAACACTAGAAGGTAGTTATAAGTTTTCAGTGCATTTATCAAGTTATATGAATTTTATTTATTTAAATATTTTTCAACTTGTCTTTTCAGTTGTATTATTCTATCTATATTTATTGCATTTCTACAAGAATAATTTTTTATTTTTTATTTTTTATTTAAAGATCTGTTGCATAAGCCTGTAGCAAGGGTACAGAAGAATGCATTAGTTCTTCATGTTAGTACTGTTTTTTATTTCTGTATCAAGAGAATTTGATATTTTTTAACCTTTAAAGTTTTTTTTTTTTGGTTAACATAGTGTAATAGTCTGTTTTTCAAACTATTTTCCACTAGGATTTGCTAAGGTATACGCCAGAGAATCATCCTGATTTTAAAACTTTGAAAACAGCTTTAAAAATGACGCAGTGTTTTTTAAATGATATTAATGTGTCAGCCACTGAAAGCATGTTTCCTGTAAGTATATGTTTTCCTGTCAATTTAATTTATTAATAGCATAATTACAATTTCATTCGGTAACATAATTTGATACTATTGAGTGAAATCAAAAATATAGTACAGTCACTCCCTGCCCCCCCCTCCAAAAAAAGAGAGCACAGTTCATATCTTTCGTTCTGCTAAGTTGATTGATAGACCTTTCATTTTTCTTGCATTTTGAATATCTTGAAAGCACGGTTTAGGTTATACATTGGATTTATATGTAGCGTTGTTTTAACATAGGTATTTTGACACATATCAGACTTTTTCGTTTTCTCTACTTCGATTCTATGACTCAAATTATGCCTAAATAGAAAGTGTAGTAAAATTCAGTAAGAAACTTATGGAGAAACTCAAAAATTTATTTTGCTGTACTTTTTTCAGTTTGCAACAAGAATAATTCACTTGGGGAAATTTTTAATTTATTGTAACCTTTCCCTTTTATTGTGCACAAACAGAAAAAAAAAAAAAAAAAAAGTAAACCCATTTATTCTTCCAAATAATTTTTATGTATTATATTTTTAATCATAGTTCAGTTTGACTTCCATTCAAGTTCCTATTTCTGACAACTATTTTATCAAAATTCCGACCGAAACTTGAGTGTTCAAAGTTATAGTGTATATTTACTTTATGACAGGTAAGTAGTCAGTGAGTATTAAAAAAATAGGTTGTAGAGTTTACACGAATGTAACTTCCTGTCTTAATGCAAGTATGACAGGGAATGAAAGAAAAGGCATGTAAAGGTCTGTTTTTGACATGTACCTAAGAGTAGATGTTATATTTATTCCTTTTGTCTTTTCCATGTCAAAAATTTTTCCTTTGAGGAGTAACTAAATTTTTGGGAGACAAGAACAATCACAACAAGATATATCTGGAGAACAGTGGGATGACTAATTACATATACTTATTTTTTGAATAGAAGCAACTTTATGAAATGGTTATTGACTGGTGGAAAGATGCATTATCATACAATAAAATACAAATACATTTGAAAGTAACATAAGATTAAAAGTCATATGATGAATTCTCAGCCATTTAAAAGTGAACTACTCAGGCATACACTGAAAATTGCAGAATGTTTCTGACACCTCATCTTTTAAGACAGACAGAATAATACTTAAAATTTAAACATGTATTTTATCTTCCCAGAACACAAGGGGTCATTATCATCCTATCTTTAGTTCAGATTCCAAGAACACTAAGTGAATACAATAATAGCAAATGTAACTGAATATTCATTTGCTTGATCGTTTAGTAGCAAGCTAATAAAACTTCAGTTCTGCTTTTTGTGTCTGAAAAGACAACAATATTTTAAATATTTATAAATAAAGTAGTAAATTGGAGACTAAGAATCTTGCTCATAATTTACATGAGCTCTGCCAGTGGACTAGTGACTGAAAATTGATGAATTATGATAATTTATTTTGAAGTTCAACCCAGGTAAATGGGCTGCCTACATCAATACTTTTTTTAGTTTTCGAAGTTGTGAATATGAACCAGTTTTCCTTAGAAAAAATCCTCCATGAAGGCATCACCCTTCAGGCAAATAGCCCCCCATGTGCTCTGCCATATTCTAATAACCAATTAAACTAGTTTAAGTCACAATTTCTAAACCATGCCTTCATTGATGATTAAATCCAAATCGAGTCTTGAAAAGTGCAAGTTGAATTTCATCAATAGGCCAAGTACAATGGGGGATATAGAACTGCCTCCCTTTTTTGAGTTGCTTTATATATTGAAATTTTTTTAATAAAGAAGCTGGATCTGACCAAAATAATTTTTTTAGTTCTAATAGATTTAAATTAAACAAATTATGATTTTTAATGTTTTTGCATGAGTAATTTTAAAATTTAAGTTACTGAATAGTAAAAATTAGAATTTAAATTTCCTATAGTCAAGTCCCTGTATTTCTTTTCTGTGATTGTAATTTGCCAAGTTTTTCCGCATACTTATAGCTAATTTTATTTATATTAATCTCTTCCATGCATTTCTGCTAAGAAATAGTTTAAAAAGTGGAGGAATGCAAACTATGCAAAATTAATTTGTAACTATTCAGTAATTAAGACACAATAACACGCCGAATAAATACTAATTCAGAAGTCAAACAACAAAAATCAGCGTTATATTTACAAAGTTTTCACAGGACTAGTTTCGATGTTTTTACCGAACCACCATCTTCAGCTGCAAAACCGCAAATGAACAAGATAGGAAATAATGATTAGATAAGATAAGAAAGCCTGGACAAGAATAAGCAAGTGGCGCCATCTGTTGGTAAAACCAGAACTAAAACATAATTTCTTTAAAGGCCGAAGGCAAATTTGGATTGGAATTAGGATCGTTAACTAGAACAGAAAGATTTTTATGAATGTGAAAATGCCTCTAGAAAATCCAGTTCTCCAATGGAAGATGTTTTTTGAATAATTTTGGCAGCAGAAAAACTGAAAGTGTGGTTTTCGGACCAACAATGTTGAGCAACAGAAGACTTCTGTGTTTCCTTTTTTCTAAACATATGCCTCATGTTCCTTGACACGAAATTTTAAGGCTCTCTTAGTTTGGCCAATGTAAATTAAACCACACTGGCAAGGAATCCTATAAATACCCCAGGAATTCATATCCGGAATGGGGTCCTTGAGTATGGAACTCGGAATTTTATTGATGGGAGAATAAACAACCCGAAAGTTAAATTTCTGCAAAATATGTGCAACTTTATAGCTAATTGATGGAAAGAAGGGCTCGACATTCTGGTCACACGTAACACATCCAACTTCAGTACTACGGTTTACCGTAAACCTTCATCGGTTTGCCTTCCACCACACTTTAAATCATGTCATCCGACTAAACAAAAGTTTGCTTCATTTTATTCCTATGTTTTCCGTGCTCTTCAAGTTTGCTCCTCCAAACTAGCCCTTGATGAAGAACTAAAGTATTTAAAAGCAATAGCTATTGACAGGGGCTTTCCACCCAACATTATTAATCAAGCAGTTAAAAAATTCTCATCTCAACACACTAAAAGGCACAATCTTGTTTTAGGAGATTATAAAAATTCTGTTGTCATTCCCTTCTTTCCATCAATTAGCTATAAAGTTGCACATATTTTGCAGAAATTTAACTTTCGGGTTGTTTATTCTCCCATCAATAAAATTCGAGTTCCATACTCAAGGACCCCATTCCGGATATGAATTCCTGGGGTATTTATAGGATTCCTTGCCAGTGTGGTTTAATTTACATTGGCCAAACTAAGAGAGCCTTAAAATTTCGCGTCAAGGAACATGAGGCATATGTTAGAAAAAAGGAAACACAGAAGTCTTCTGTTGCTCAACATTGTTGGTCCGAAAACCACACTTTCAGTTTTTCTGCTGCCAAAATTATTCAAAAAACATCTTCCATTGGAGAACTGGATTTTCTAGAGGCATTTCACATTCATAAAAATCTTTCTGTTCTAGTTAACGATCCTAATTCCAATCCAAATTTGCCTTCGGCCTTCAAAGAAATTATGTTTTAGTTTTGGTTTTACCAACAGATGGCGCCACTTGCTTATTCTTGTCCAGGCTTTCTTAACTTATCTAATCATTATTTCCTATCTTGTTCATTTGCGGTTTTGCAGCTGAAGATGGTGGTTCGGTAAAACCATCGAAACTAGTCCTGTGAAAACTTTGTAAATATAACGCTGATTTTTGTTGTTTGACTTCTGAACTATTCAGTATTTTATGGGGGTTGGAATTTTAATAATGACAGGTGTTTAATATCGATATTGGGGTAGATATATTCTTCAAAGATATACTGCCTTTTGATGTAGTTACCAATACCATGTATACCAACACCATGTACAATACATTCCCATCTCAGAGAAAGTTTATAGGCTATAATGTTGATTGGAGTGATCTACTGTCATCTACTACTACTTCTCAACTTCATTGATTTAACAATTCAGCTACTGTATAAGTTACATCTGCTCTAAAATTATTATGCAAAATGATGGGTAGATCCTGCTGAAAGTGTAGGGCTTTTTTTACCTTAAAGCTAATCGGTGATTATATTCCAAAAATGAATAGTAATACATACTGCAATGGGTTGTAACCGAATATTTATACAAATAGCATCACCAACTTCTCACTGTGGGAATATGTGCTATGCGCATCATAGACTTTAAAAATGATTAACGTTCTTGATTTTATGGCTACTAAATTGCTACTGCCATTTTTAGAACTTGTTTGTTATACATTACTGCCCTTTATTTATTTGCATTGCCGAGTGAGTGGTGTAGAAAATCAAAGTTATTCATCCTTGAAAATAAAGAATTTTATCATTACCAAGGTGTTTTATTGGAATTTTTATAATGAATTATCATAACATGAATTATTGTGTTTGTTAGGGCCACTGTATCACCATTCATACACATGAATCACTGTAGGTTTCAGATTGCTTGGATTCTAATGAGCATTCGTTCATAGTGATTGATAATGATGTCACTCAAATGAAGTTAAATGAAGGCTTTTACCCATCTTGCTACTTTTCTTTAATAAACCCTGACAAACTTCTTGAAGATCATTCTTTATGATTTTGACACATTCAATTTTTATACAATTGCTCTGCTTCTATATAAAAAATGTTGTGATTGCACTACATTAGACTGCCAGCTAAAGTAAGGTTTTAGTAGCACAGTGAAGCAGTGTAGGGTTTTCCTTATTTTGCATAATAAATTTAAGTTTGATACCTGTTCTAGACTTCTCAACTTCTCCTCACATTCTCTCACCGGGCTGTAAATTTAACTGCTATTTAAACGTGTGAAATTCTCAGCTTATTCAGAGCGTGTTTCGCTAGCTAAATGCACGTTTCATTGTTATTTCGCAGTCACGCTAGTAAGCCTCTTGGCCTTATCAGGTTAGTATCATGCCAGTTAGAATCCTATGAGTCCTTCTCTTAGGCATAACTTATATGTGATCTTGCACTATTTATTTCAGGTTTGACTTGTACTATATTCTACGTTTTAGTTTCCACCGCATGTGGACGATGTCCTTGTAACTCATGAAGTCTGTGCCTTTATGTTAACTAGTTGAATTAATAAAGGGTTATTTTTACCCTTCATTTAAGTCAGTAGTTTTAATTCACGCCTGTGCGAGAATTCGCCAGGTCATTATAAGGTCTATTCTAGTTTATGTGGAACAAGAGAGACATACTCTATAATGGGAGAATCAATTTGCTCTGAAGTTTGTTATTAATGTGTTTTGAAATAATATTATCTAATGCCTAATTATTATATGATGTCACTATAGCATTGTTTCTACCAATAAACTTCCATCCCTGTCATTTTGATTGGTTATTGATTTTTTTGATTATTTTGAAGGCATGTAAACAAAATTTTTTTTTTTATTTGTAAAATATCATGCTATGTACATGTAGAGTTTTTATCTTCATGTTATAATTTTTTATGTAAAACATTTTTGTGTTTTAATATATACTTCTTATTCATTCAGATGACTGACAGAGCACAGAGGCATTTAGTGAAAAATAGCTTCATAGTTGAGTTATCTGAAGGTCATAGGAAACTAAGACATTTATTTTTGTTCAGTGATGTCATTGTTTGTGCTAAATATAAGCCATCTACAAGGTAAACCTCATTTAGTTCATAAAAATATATTAAGTTTTTTCTAATTAAAATTTTTAATGGTGTTGTTACGGATGTAAATTGTTTGGTTTAGGTCAGCGGTCGTCAACCCTTAGAACTTCACAGACCACTAAATATATAATTTTATATATAGCAGACCACTAATATGAATTTAAAAAAAATCTTAAATCAGATCTTAAAATCAACATATTAATATGCAAAAACAAAATTCAATTTCCCAGTACATGCAATTCTAATTTTTATTTGTTAATATAATTTTCAAAACATTTGGTGTTCAGCAGCATGCCTTTATCTTACTTAGTACAAAAATCTTACTTTCTTGTACAGAGAGCTTCACATTTCCATATCACTGAAAAGGAACTTCACGAAAAGCAAAAGCAAACCAGCAAACACAAAGCAATATCAATAAACTGAAAATGTTATGCTGTCAATTTTTAATTATTGTAAACATAATAATCATTGCTTACTCAGCAATGGTGCCATGGATCAGCAGTTAGACAAAACAAAAATGGAAACTTCTAGTGATACAATTATAAACAAGAATGCAGATGGTTCTCATAAAAATCCGTCAAGTTGCCTAGTGACATGGAGAAACACTGTATCATTAACGACTACAATAGCATACGTTTGTAATTCAAAAGGAAAGAAAATTCCAGTTCACGCTATTATTAATAACAGCAGCATATTCATGGATGCCAACTCTCACTTTCAAAGTCTCTAGATGCACCTGCAAAAATAGCTAAAAGTCGCTAAATTCAGAAGGAATTTCGCTAAAAGTAGTAGCTGATTTTTTTTTTAATATATATAATCCATATTCCATAATAGGTTTTGTTATTGTCAGTTTTTAAACTTAATCTTCATAAAAATACAAATAATCTCCCAATTTTTCTGTGGACCATCAAAATGTTTTCACAGACCACCGGTTGGTGGTCGCTGTGACCGCTGGTTTAAGTAATATATTCTGAAGTGCTGAAAAACAGATGTCTCAAAAATGTAGTGACAAACTTTTAGGGAATATAGGAAGGTAGCCCACATTATAAGGATTGAGAACTGCTTAATAACCCATGACCAGAACATTATCGTATGTGGCCAGGTGGTGCTCGTCGCAAAAGCAATGGAGAGGAAAATGAGGGTTTCGTCATTCGAGTGGTGCCAGCACATTAGCCGCTGAATGAATTTATCGAGAACACATTCCTGACAGACATCAACTACGCACAGTGTGTTTGCATGTGTGTGTTGAAATTTGTGCAAATAGGGTCATTAAGAAATAGCTAGATTAGTGAAGGCAGACCATGATAGACGTGTTCAGTCATTATGGAAGAAAGTGCATTGGGTATTATGAAGACCAATTCCAGTACCATCACATGTGCCATTGCCTCTGCCTTAAGAATATCTTGTTGCAGTGTATAGTGTGTTTTGAACACTTAAGTCCTTACACACCTTCATCTCCAAAGGGTTCAATTACTGCTCCTTGATGATCATTCTGCACATGTAAGTTTAACACACTGGTATCTGCAACAAAATGTCTGAGATGTGAATTTTTCTCCTTATGTGTTGTTCACTGATGAGGCTGCATTCAGTAGGAATATTGTATTCAATCAGTACAATATGCATTTGTAGGCTCAAGATAACCCCACAGTGTGTGGCATCACACAATACATCACTTTGTAGCAAATATGTGGGCAGGTTTGGTCAGCAACTGCTTAGTTAGGCTATACGTTTTACCACATTGTTTGTGCCAAATATCATCCTGCATGACTGCCATGAGTTATTGGATCTTTCTGGAGTAGGTTCTTCTCGGCTTACGTGATGATGTTACAGCAAATGTGAGGTGCAACATGTTACAGTATGATAAGGCACCTGCTCATTTTGGACTGGCTGTTTGTAGGCATTTGATCAGGTCATTCCACATTCCAATCTTCTGCCTCTGATACCACTTATCCATGATACTTCCAATCATGGTTGCTATGTGATTCTCAATCCTTATGATGTGCATTACCTCCCCTAAAAGTTTGTTGCTACATTTTTGAGGCACTCTGTATGATACATACTGAAGAAGAGAGCTACAATTGCAGGATAAGGCATAAATCTTTTCAAATCTCTGAAGTAGTCTGTTGACAATAAACACCATACCTCTCAAAAAATATTCACAGTTCTCTAATAGTTTTGAGGATCTCAACTTTGGAACATTGTGCAATATCTTGGGTGCTCATGATCATTTCGAGATATGATAAAAAGGTTGCTGTTTCTTGCCATAAATTTATATGAGTGTTCCTGAAACTGTATTTTGGGAGAGAAGTTTGTAAATAAGTGAAGAATCCTAATATTCACCAGTTTAACACACCTGCACCGTTACTGAGTAACCAGTTGCTTGTACAGTTGAGAATCATCTCTTTTGATATGTTAATACATTAATTCTTGGTTTTTATTCATGTATAGAATCCTCCATGTGCCAAGTTCATCAGCTCGAGATACTTATTTCCGGTTTTCTAGTATACAGTGTTGGTCTCATGAGATCAAATTAGGCACAGAACTCCGTGTCCTGATGCAAGCTATAGAACTCAGCTTGAGTGTCAACTATTAAAGCCCTTATCATGCATTGCAAGGGACATCGTATCATACAGTCGTCATGCAGATGTTCAGTCTTCAGAATTGAATTGCATTGTTGCACAGATACGAGTTGAAATAATTCTTGTTGGATGAGGCTTTTTGAGACCTTTCGGTATATTTGAGGCTTGTTGAGATTTTTCAGTTCCACTGCCTTACTGATTCTCTAGATAACATATTCTGAAGAAAGATTCTTCAAAAGTTCAATTTTCAATTAATTTTCTCACCTGTCAATAAAATCCATGGTTCGACTCAAAGATTCTAACTTTAATTCTTGGGAAATTAGTGGCATATTGTATCAGTATGCTTTGAGATGCATCGGTCAAACTAAAAGATTGTTAAACTTTTGTATCAAAGAACATGAATCTTATGTCCAAAAAAATGAAATTGACAAATCTTTGATAACTAATAATTGTTGGAAATTTAATCATAATTTTGACTTTTGGTCTGCAAAAATGATCCAAAAAGTTTCTTCAGTTGGTGAATTTGATTTTCTTGAAGCTTTTCACATTCACACAGATTTATCTTGTTTAGTTAATCCAGTCCTTCCTTAAAATTCTGTCAACGTAATTTTAAAATTTCATTAATATTTTTGCTGGTAAATGGTGCTACCTTCTCGTTCACTGTACTGTGAAGTATAAATATGGCCATTACACTCACTGCTTTTCCAGTCTTACAGATTTCTTTGCTACTGACAAAGGTGTATCTGTACCTGTTAGTCCTCGAAATTGGTTGAGATCTTGACATAAATCTATGTCAAACTGTCATCAAGTAATTTATTCCATTATCTGATGTTGAAGGTTGTTGTGTTACTAATTTTATTGGTAGAGCTTATTGAGCACACAAAGGTGACCAAATGAGCCAGTTACTTAAAAACATTTTAATTTTGTTTCTGGATTACAAATTTAAGATGTTTTAAATAAATCCGAAGACTATATTTTAAGATCTGTATTAAAATTTTGTTTAATAATAAATTTCTGAGTTAAATCTCAAAAGATCTGGTAGTTTATGTTACCTGCATTTGAAAACATACATATTGCTTGCAATATTTACCTTTTCTGTGAACATAATTATTTGTAAGATAATTTCAAACAAATGGAAATATATATATATTGCTATCTTTGGTGACTGAGGGAGAAGGATTAATAAAATCTTCCTTTTTTCCATATCAATAAAGTAGAATCTCTTGTTAGAATCATGAATTACATAGTTGGGTCTGTGTTTGAAGTCGGGAGAAGGCATGTAATGTTTATAAGTATATAGTGTCTTTGTGGAATGATTATGCTTGAACACTTTTGGATCAAAAGCACCAGGAGAGGTCGAAGGTCCTTCAAAGGCATTCATTTTGGCTTTTAGATAAAATTTTACTTTTCATGTAAATTTAAAGTCTTTAATTTCTCCATCTATTGAAGTATGGTAACCATACTTTTCAATGTGATCGTAGAGACACCAACTATTGTATTACTGGATCAGGGCTTTTTATCACTAAAAAGGCTTGGTGTTTGTAAATGTGTAGTGTCTTAATGGAATCAAGTCACTTAAAATATCATCAAGCTGAAATCATTTAAGGCAGTGGTCTCAAACTTATGGTATGCTTCTCCAGAAGCTATTTTATGCAGCCCATGAATACATTTCTGGTAAATTAATTAGCATTGTTATGATATTAATTATTATGATAATTTGAAGAAAGGTTTGAGGTTTTAATGATTTCGTGTCCTATTTGACATTATTTTCATTCATGAATGTGAGTAATGCTCCAGAAAATCTACAAATGGAGCTAGTAAATTTATACTATTATATAAATTTTATTCAAATATTTTAAACTAAGGATTTGATTGACTTTTTTATTTCGCATTTGTCAAAACACAAATACTCTCAGTTATGAATTTTTGCAATAAGAATAATCACTTTGGTTAGGGGTACACAGTTAAAACTTAATAAGTTTAAAAAAAAAAAAAGAAGAAGAAGCTGATTGACCGATGAGCATCTACAGTTTATGATGAGGATAATTTCTTTATTTTAAGCTGAAAGTAAATTTTTAGTGGTTTATTCAATGCATTAGAATAATTTGAAATAAATGTGAACTTTTAATATTTAGCTGTGAATGCATTTAAAATGCTATGTGTAACCATCTCATATTTCTTGCAAATATCAACCTTTAAATTTCAAATTAAAAAAATATATAAATTGGAATTTTTTTCCATTGCATCATTATTATAAATTTTTTAAAAAATATTCAGTAAGTAAAATTTAAAATCTAGTTTTGTTAAGAAAACTTTTTCAGTTTGGTTAAAAAAAAGGGGGAGGCAATTTTGACCCACCAGCTGCTTTCAGATCGTGTATTTGGCCCATATGCAACAATTTGAGTTTGAGATCACTGATCTAGGGCAAAAGGGATAGGATCTATCTCCAAGCTGTTCTCTGACAAAAATTGGTTGGAGGTGGATAAGCTGATATTATCATTTACCAGGTCTCAAAGCCTTGTCTAATCATCTTTCTTGTCCTGATAAAATTTGTAGACCTGTCTGAAAGCCATAACTTATGTGGAAGATTAGAAACAATGCCAGCAGCAACATACTGAATAATAAAATACATACACAAAATTGTTATGTAATTTTGTTGTAGGAATTCAGATTAAAAATTTTGTATTTTAAAAATAACTATTAGAAAGGGCATTTCATATGCAGTAATCTGCTCTCTGTTATTTATATTCTTCAATTTTTCATCATTTCCCAATAATCAAAGTGTTGAAGTGTAATGTATTGTTTTTACCCCCTCTAGGCAAAAATTTACGTTTGAAGTCAAGTGGTTTATTCCATTATCTGATGTTGTTCTTTCAGACTGTAATAGTGAGTATTTTTTATTTAAAGATATCATATTTATCAGAGAGGATCCTCCCTTTGATGTGCGTTATATTACAACCACCTATAATTTAGAAAAATCTAGCGCATTGGTAATTAGTAATCCAACAGAGATAAGAAACTGTCCTTTTCTTTTTCATAAGGTATGCATAGAAAGAGGGATCTTAATAATATGTAAAAGAAAACATTACAGGAAAATTCTGTTCCATAATTTTTTTTTTTTTTTTAATTGGTGGGGGGGGGTAGGACTTATTTGATCAGTTGCTGAATTTTTTAAATTATTATATCTTCTCCCTTTTATTTCCTTGTAAGAAGTAAAAGAAGTATTCTATTGGGTAAATTTGTAATAACAGTAATGCATTTTACATACATTATACATATTATATGATTACAGTTCTTCATAATTGAAGGTTGCCGTTGAGTTTTCTAAATTTTACTAAATTAATTTTGAGCATTGACTAATTTTGCCAAAGCAGTTGCAATGCCGCTTTAATTAGGAAGCACCAAAAAGAGCCTAATGCAAAGTCAAGGAGCATTGTGAGATTATAATTGAGAAAACATGTCTTTCATGTGGAAACCTCAAGTTTGTAAAACCTCAGGTTTTTGAAGTCAAATTCATGAACAAGGTTAGCATTGTTCTTATCTAATTCAAAATTTTATTCTAGGAGTCTCTTAAGAAATATTTTTAAAAAAATGCTGTAAAAAATGTATCATTCATATTAAATAGTTAAATCTAGCAAATTGCTTCATTTATTTTCATTTCTTGTGAATACATGTGTGTACTTTTTTTTTTTTTTTTTTTTTTTTTTTGATTGGGGAAAATCAATTGCTCTTTAAAATGTACAAATGGAAATTTTGCAATATTTTATCAATAAATAGGTTCCTCCTCTTTGAGTTTGTGTGAAGTGTGCAACAGTTAACTTGATTATCCAAATAGTTAGCTCACTTTTCTCATTGGTAGCCTAATTTTTTGTCCTTAAATGAGCTAGTAATGTTTACTTTGTGTGGAGTATCTTATATTTTTATTTTATAATATGATAGTAATATTTGCTTCATTTAGATGATGATGTAATAAAAGAAAATTCGCCATTTGATATATTATCCCTAAAGTCAAGAGCTAGTAATGTTAGGGACCAAATATTAAAAGAAGAAAAAGGGAAGGAGGTAAGATTCTCTATTTTATGTAATAAAGAATAAATTATAAATATCAGTGTGGTTTTGTATTTGAAGTTACTAATAGAAAATATACATTTCTTTCCTTAGCGTCGAGTAGCAGGTAGAAATATTGACAAGCACAAGAAAAAGCTTGCAGAGCTGGTGAGTTATGATAGATGCATAATAATGGAACCATTTGATTTCAAAAATGCCTTTTGATTCTTTTACTATTATTTTCTTTTTTTACAGGAAGCCCAGCTTGTCCTTGCATCACCAAATTTGCTTTTTCGCATAGGTCATAAATGTGGTAAAAGTTATACTTTTTTCCTGTCATCTGAATTTGAGCGATCTCAGTGGAATGAGGCAATAAGCATATTGCAGTCATCTGGTACTATGATTTTATGTATCTAATTTTTAATATTAATTATAATTAATTAAAAGTAGTGAATTATTGTATAAAGTAAGTAAACCAAAATTGAGCATAGGGAAATATATGTAAAATAATTAAATTAAAATGCCAAATAGGTTTCATAGACAAGTGTCATATGTCATCGTTTATCATTATCCGGCTTTGGGAAGATTGGATTAGCTAGAAGGATTGAGCCGTCTCTTTTGAGTTGGTAGCTGCTGCAGGGATTTCATAGATGAATCTTGCAAGATTATATGAGAAACATGAGCAGCATATGAAGACAGTGGGTGTCCACTCATAATATGTGAACAATGCTGTTATCACCCGAGAAAGGCAACCATAGCAATCACCCCAATATATATAGAATGATTAGATTATACATGGTAATCGTCCAAAGAACATTATGTAAGATCATATCCTAATTTAATTTTGGGGTATTCAAGTCATCTGTCAATGCACTAAACAATGTATGTTGATTTCCATGGATTTGATATAGTCATTAGCTATCATAATTCAACTGTTAGCACTAAAACATTGGGTAACATGCCTTACTTAGCAGGTGTGTTTATGACCTGATCAGGAAAATCACATTTTAAGCTGTTTTGACTATATGGATGCACTTATGTATGAAGAAGATTACATGAGGCTATAGATTCATTCTGTTTACAAGCTCAGAATGTACATTCTATTGTACAAATTAGTAGTAACCTTGCCATGATGTTGGATGTGATGTGTTCAAATACATAAGTACCACCAAAGTAAGTGAAGTTTTCCTTGATAGGAATAGTAGAGTCTTATTAGATTCAGCAACATTTTAAGTAATTCTACCCCAACAATATCTTTTCTTATATTATCACTTGTTACAGAATAGTTTGAAAGGATTGCTTCAAGATGTAACATTTTACTTGACGATCCAAAACATTGCTTCTGATTCTTAACTAGTTTTCTAACAGGAGTCATCGTTTGAATATCTTCTTGCCTCTAAATAATTTTCTAACTGCTGTATTCGTTATATCGTTTTCCCTCTGGAACTTCAATTTACTAATGTTTGAGTAGTGCATTGCCAGCACATTTACCGCTGCTTTATTTTTGTCTGCTGATGCGGCACTAATATTTGAGCTGTTGGCAATTGGGATTGAAGAGTGTCTATTTAGGGCACCAATTAACCCTCCAGTATTTTGCATCTTTTCTCGGATCCAGGTGATTCCAGAATTCTGCCCATTTTAATCATTCGCCCTTTGCTATTTCTTTCTCAACTTTTCTAGTAGCCTCAGCAAGTATATTTCATTTCAGGTCTGTGTTGTTCATCTTTAATGTTCTTTTATTCTATCTCTCTCCTCAGTCGAGGAATCAATGTTAAAATCTTTCCAAAATGGGACCCATTGTTTTTTTCTGTTTACCTCTAGTTATATAGATAGCTCTTTGCTACTTTAGTAATATTTTGGGGGGAGTCAAAAGTTTAACCTCAAAATCCCCATTCTTTAATTGAAGTTCATTACTACACAGATCTTCCAAATATTGTGTAAAGCGAGTCAAGTTTGCCTTTCTGAAGTTCCATGATCTCTTTGTCGGCCATTTCCATCTGCATATTAAGGGTGGTGATGACTCATTGCATTATCCAAAATTCTCCCATTACAAAGGTGCGATATCTGGTAACTGACATCTGTGAAGTCCAGAGCTGATTGTGTGCCAGCTGATCTTGATAGATATGTATTTTATTTATCATTAATGATGGTCAGTCCTAAATCCATCAGAATGCCTTCCACCTGTTGACCATTTGCATCCATGACATGTGATCCCCAAGTCAGGCTCTTTGCATTAACGTCTCCAAGCAGAATGCCAAATCTGCCTAGGTGTTACCTATTTCACTAAATGAATCTGGGCCAATGATGATGGTGTCAGCATGATAAACATTAACCAGGACAAAAGAATGCTCAAGAGTGAAAATTTCTAGGGCCTGGACTTCTGTGTTGCCAGTATCTTGTCATATTTGTTGTATCCTTGCCTGTTGTCATATTTGCTGTATCCCATTAATTAAATATAGCTGTAAAAATGAGAAAAAAAAGGGGGAAGTTGTATTTTTATCTTCATCAGAAATAATTTTATATGTAAAATTTAATTAGAAATGAAAGTCCAGCTCCACATCTGTCCACTTTATCCTTTCTAATCGTTGTATAACCTTTAATGTTAAATTGATTCTTGTCATTTAGCCATGTTTCTTGCAGGCAGGCAATATGTGTATCATTTTCAGTTAGTAGGCATTATAGCTCATATCTCTTTAAGATTGATGGCGAGTTGCATACGGAATAAATGTTGATTCTAATAACTTATAATATTTTTTTTTTCCTGTTGTAATCCAGCAGGCCAATAAAAACAATCTATCAGCCAAGCAAGTCTTTATTTTTTTAAATTTTGGGGTCCCAAAACCAAGGTGCATGTCGTACATTTTATCTTCTTATACATGGAAAAATACAGTAATTTTAAAATACTAATTATGTTTTATATATTTGTAGATTGTCAGCTACAGCTATAATTATTTTAAGTAAACTGTACGATTAGTATTTAGCAAAATTTTTTCTTCAAATCATTCCTACTTCTAGTGCCATGTAATTTGTTATTTTATAACTTTGAATTATAATATTTCATTAACTACTTTTAATTATAATTAATTAAAAGTAGTGAATTATAGTATAAAGTAAGTAAACCAAAATTGAGCATAGGGAAATATATGTAAAATAATTAAATTAAAATGCCAAATAGGTTTCATAGACAAGTGTCATATGTCATCGTTTATCATTATCCGGCTTTGGGAAGATTGGATTAGCTAGAAGGATTGAGCCGTCTCTTTTGAGTTGGTAGCTGCTGCAGGGATTTCATAGATGAATCTTGCAAGATTATATGAGAAACATGAGCAGCATATGAAGACAGTGGGTGTCCACTCATAATATGTGAACAATGCTGTTATCACCCGAGAAAGGCAACCATAGCAATCACCCCAATATATATAGAATGATTAGATTATACATGGTAATCGTCCAAAGAACATTATGTAAGATCATATCCTAATTTAATTTCTGGAGTAATTTAAGAAGACAAAATATAAAATGTGTGTGTAACTTTATTTTTTGGCTTTGATTAGTTGTTTAAGATATAGTTTAATTTTAGGTACTGTTCAACAAATATTTTGTTATAAAGTTTCATTTATTTCTGTGACTATGAATGGTTTTGATTTTTAAAATACATAACTGTTGTATATTTTCTTGTCTTCTTTCTTATGTGAGTCTTTCCTTTCTTTTAGCAACAGCAACAAACACACCAATCAGTGCATATGAGTTACAAGCTTGGGTTACCTCATGCAGAAAGGTAAACTAAAAGTGGAATTTAATCGAATGATTTTAGCTATCTATTTGGATGCAAAGGCTGGTGTTAAATATGAATGCAAACCTTTTCAATGAAACTTTCTTAATTTTTGTTAGAATTAAAGTTTATAACTTTCTAAAAATTTTTGTAATGCTATAAATGTGGTTAATTCTATTGAATAAATTCTTTATTGCTTTTCTTATCTTGCTTTCACTTTAATTTATTAATAAACTAACTTTATTAATGATCCATTTTATGTTTTTGAGTAACTATCTTTTAACCATTATTCTGCAATGCCTTTCTGGTGCATTTCAAAATAATATTTAGCATCATCACAGATTACTTTTAAATGTATAAGTGCTTTTAACATCAGCTGCAAAACAGGTAAAGTTTAAAAAATAAAGCATATTTAAGTGTGTGTTTTTTCTATCAGATTTTAAAGTTTCAACAATATATATATATATATATACACTCACACATGAAAATATTAACAAATAATTAAATGTAAGGAAGGACTATTAAGAATCCTGCACAGAGGCTGCTATGTCATGAAAAAAATTTTTCATAACATAATGCTGCTAAGATATAATTTGTAAATGTTTATTAAGTTAAAATTACACAAATTAGCAAAAGAAAATAAAGTAACAAAATGGTGTATCATATATTGAGCATTATTCATGTTGCAAATTAGAAAATTAGAATTAAAAATGGAGTCAAAATAATATTTGCTGTATCCTGTTAATTAAATATAGCTGTGAAAATAATAATAATAAAAAACGGGGAAAAGCTGCATTATTTTCTTCAGGCCCTTACATTGTCAAAAGAACATAAAGCCTTCTTATGAAAATACACTTTTCTCTTCCATATATGTAAATATATATAAATTCAAACATTTTCAAAAAAGGGCTTTATGTGGAACATTGATCCTTTGGGGCAAGGGTTCTCAACCGGTGGTACGCAAAGAAGCAAAGTATTTTTAACTATTAAATTCAAAAATTAAAACCCCAACATCCTGAATGAGTTTTTTCTCTAACACTCATAAATTTATGCGATCTGAGCTTTGTTAAAGAGTGGTGGTTGTGGTAGTAGTATTTTGTAGTGGTGGTACTAAAGACTTTCAATTTTTTGTTTAGATGGTATGCGTTAGTCAAAAGGCTGAGAACCGCTGTTTTGGAGGTCATCATGCTCTTTTAAAATATATTTTACAGGGTGTATCAACAAAATGGTAACAAACTTTCAGGAAAGATAGAGTACACCTAGACGATCGAAAATTACACAACAGTGTATGTTCGGAAACGCCTTCCTGGTGCGGTAGTGACGACACAAAACACAAGAAAGACATAAACAAGGTGAGAAAGCATGTTTATTACGCTTAGCAAGAAACCAAGAAATAAGAATAAATTCAGACAACTATTGTCATCAAAGAATGTGTTTGAAATTACACCTCGAACCATGATGCAGATCTCCAGCGCATGGAAGATTTGATGTTCTGGAAAATACCAGATGTGTCCCGGACTGATCAGCAGCTGCCACATTGCATGCAAGAAGTTTTTAACACTGTTAACAGGGGTTTTGTATGCCAGTGTTTTGACGTACCCACAGAGGAATTAGTCAATGCAAGTGCTTTCTGTTGATCTTGTAGGCCAATGCACCAGAACACCCTTGCCGATCTAATATGTTGCATTCAGGTGCTTGTATACCAACCAAAGCTGTTCCAACATTTTAGCTGTACTAAGCATAATAAGCCTGTCTTCTTACACTGTTCTCATCCTTCCTTTTTTGTGTCTTATGTCGTCACTACCACCGCAGGAAATCCATCATCTAGATGTACTATGTCTATCCTGAAAGTTTATAACCGTTTTGCTAAAACATCCTGTATATTAAAACATTTCTGTTGAATATCATTCTGCTAAATCATAACAAAATGCATTTAATTTAAAGTGGCATTCTAGCTAAGTTATTTTTTATTAAAGAATAGGTCCCCCCCCTTAAAAGTGAAATATTCCTAGAAACTTTTTATGTTATGAATGAGATATATTTTATGTTAAGTACAGTTACAACATTTACTGTAAGGAATTATGTAAAGTGGTTTATAATTTTAATTTTATAATTGAATTGCATTGTATATGCATTGCAAATATGCTTATCCCGTGATTTTTTTTAAAGCACCTAGGAACAAATCTTGGATCTTTCCTGTTGCGATCGGGTAAGTATATGTTGCTAAAAATTAGTTATATTTTAATTAAAAAATTTGATAGCTTGAAGGGTTAAACTTGGTTTGAAATTTAAGTTGCTTCCCCAAAAATCCCTCTAAGATTTTCAGTGTGATTAATTTTGATTATTTTAATGCATGTGATAAAAGGATAAAAATTCTTAAGAAATTTCTCAGTATTTCCTAGCTTGTAATAAACTATTTCATTGTTCATATTTTCGTTTTCTTTTTAAGAATAGAATATTGCGATATAAATTGGTTGGTTATATCTCTTGTTATATGTTCTGTGCTAAACAACTGGTAGGTTCAGCCATCTCTGATGAGAGCTTAACCAGCCAATGTCCAGTCTGTGCAGGAATCTGACTCGCCAGAAAAATCAGCAAAATGAAAAATGATCAGGGAAAATATAAGCATGAAAATAATTATTTAAAAAATGCCTGAGAAATTAAACACATATGGATATATCCTATTAAATAATAAAAATTTCATGTTTTAAACAGTAACCAATAAGCAAAAATAACTCCATTGAAAAAGAAAGCAAATTTCTTATAGAAAGTACACTGGCAGGGAATATTAAAGAAACAAAATAAAAATTTGTGTTATTTGAATGATTATGCAGCTAGGAATATGGAAACGTGCACTAGATCTTTAGTTTGTCATGCCTAACATATCTTCATAATTCAGAAATGCCTATTTTTGCAAACTATAAGTTTAAATAAGAACATTCAAAGTGTTATAAAAAGTGAAGTAGGGGACGTTTGGTGTTAAAACTTTTTTGGGATACACACACACACAAAAAAAAAAAAAAAAATTACACTATTTCCTCAAGTATTTTTTCCTTTTTTTTAAATTAATTTTATCATCCAAAATTTGAGAGGGGAAAATATATGAATAATTGAAAGACATGTTTATATGCTACTCTTTAGGCTTTCATAAATAATTATAGAAGGTAAATGTGTATCCAATTCATAGAAATGGTAGACTGAATGTCAGTTTGTGTTTGCTTCTCTGTAATTGGTCTCTTTTGTATTAGGTTGGCATAAAGTTCCGCAGTTAGAAGGGAAATGTTTAATGTGACCTTCATTGGTAATTTGGAAAGGTTTGTCTTTGTTAGTAAGATGAAAACAATCACTACATGAGCGAACCCATTTTTAAATTTATGGAAGTTCATTCACACATAGATGAAGGGGACTATTATGCAAATATTTTTTAAGTTTTCAGAAACTGACTCTAAAAACAAAGGGGAAATACAGTTATAAGGGGTCATCCTTTGCCGAAATATAAACTTCCCTGAGATTTTTAATCGTGTATCAGATTGCCCAAGAGCTTCTATAGTTACAAAGTATATTCATGATTAATAGCCCCATAAAGCTGCTGGAGAATGCTAGGTGTGGGCTACAATGATATGAATCAGCATCCCACACATGTGGTATTTAAATTGTGGGTTCAAATCCATTTGGGGTCACAAAATTTTATAGTGGAGTCACAAAGTGGATAAAAATCTTTAAAAGTCTAAACTGGTACTAGTATATTACTAAGGGTCGATGCTCAGATTGTCATCACAAAATTGCTTTTGAATACATTTCCGTTAGCATGGGGTTGCACTGCCATAGGATTGGAATACCACTGCTCTATTGGATTTAGATCAGGAGAATAGGCAAATCATTCCTTTGCCCTCAAAGCAGTTGGTCATTGGTGCAGCATGATGAGGACAAGCATTATCTTCTATTAATTAAAAAGAAGTTATTACCAATTGCACTCCTAATGCCCAACCTTTAATAAAAAATAAAGGGCAATATTTTGATCTTTGACATAAAGATTAAGAAACTAATTTCTGTATATTTCAGCATGCATAGCCAAATAGGTAAATATATGCAAGCCATTCAAAATAATATCCTCCTATAAAATGATTCTGCCACCTTTGCACCAATATTTTGCATGGATGTTTTCAGGTTTAAAGCACGTGTTTTGAGTCTTTCAGATTATTACGTATCTTGAGTCACTTCATGAACAAAGACAAGACTTAGACTTTTTTTAATTACAGGTAAAGATGAAGATCTTCTTGTTGGAGACCTCCATATTGTAGTGCATAGCTTACATGGCTTAACAAGGCCTTCAGGTAATATTAAATAGGGAATTTGGATGAATTCCCTCTTTCTCACCCTCTCAAAATGTATCTAAGAAAAATTAAGGTGTTTGGGAGTATTTTTTTTAAGAAAGTAACATTTTATTAGTGTATAAAATGAAATTTGTTATACAAATTGGTAATATCTTTGATTATTCTTTGTTAATTTCTGAAAAATTGTCATATAATAATATAACAATTTTTCAGAAATTATTGATTTATTATGTTGTTAAAAAGGGAGATTAATTGTGGTATTATAATAAATTTTTAATGTAAAAATAAGTAATTGTTTCAGATATAAAACCTTGAATGTAGATTTTAATGACAGCCATTTTATTATTGAATATTTGCTCTAAGTTGGAATTTTCAATCACTCAATGGAAGACAATTTAATTTTAATGAAGTCTGGTAATTATTCATGGAGGAAAAAGTATTTTAATCATCTCAGTAATTGCTGAGACTGTTGCACAATCAGGGTTATTGCGAAAACAATATACAGCTTTCAATAATTTATAAAAAAAATTTGCATTGGGAATGATAACATGATAAAATTGTAGGGAAACAAAAGATTTTCCCAGCATTCTTAGTGATGACTTGTAATATTTCTTGGTATGCAAAATTGTTATGCCTATACAGAAGAAGGTGTTTTGTGTTTACCAATTTGGCAAAACCCAATCTGTTAGTGTGATTTTTTACAAAGTTTCAAAAATTCTCTTCCATACAGGAAATCTGTATGCTTTCTTTACAAGATATTTATAAGACGTTTGTGCAAGGTAAAAGCCCTGAGAAACCTCACATGTCTTTCAAAAAGGAGATCTTATGCATACAATCTTATAAAAATATGTGTTAGAAGAAACAGTGGCAGGCTTTAAATACTGGTACATAGCCAACTTGTAACATCATTTGCATAAATCCAAAGTGAAAAATAAGTTCAATGATTTTTTTTATGAGCATTAGAGTATGACCTTAATGTATTAAAACTGAGTGGGAATGTTTTTAACATACTTTTTACCATTTAAAAACTAATAAATCACCTATGTAAAATGCTTTCAGCATACTATATATAAAAAAAATTATAAATTTTAGGTTATTGCATATTAAATCACAAAAGAATATCATTGAATGACATTAAATGGGAGGGGCAAATCAACTTTGAATTCTTTTTATTTTTAACTGACCTCTCAAAAAAAGCCACTATAAATGGCAAAAATCCCAAATTTTGAAGTGAAATATATCAGACAAATTTTTATCACCTGGCAGTCAAACGTTTTGTATTGTAGAATGAATATACAGTGGCACCTCAGAATAAAGAATTGAAGTCCGACTTTGAAGTAATTCCAACTTGACATATATTCTTTTCGGATGTGAAAATTTTTGTTTGGTGTACAGTATTTGTTTGGAATACAACTCCAATTCTATGAGCCACGACTACACATGCTACCCATAGTTTAATCTTCTGAGACAATAAATAAGAATTTTCACACAATTTTTGTGATTTTACATAACTATTTTGTAAATTCGTTAGCAGCGAGTTTAAAAAAAAATTAATAAGAAGAGTCAAGTGCTGAAATAGTTAAGATCACCATGAGATGAAAAAAATAGACTGATATATGAAAAGTATGAAGATGACATACATATCTGGGACTGGGGCCGAGAAGGATGGTATTGACGACAGGGAAAAATAAAGGTGCTATTAAGTCAGCTAACAGTGTAAAGCAGGTGAAATTGATTACCAAACAAAGATCAGAAACTAGGATAGAGAAATTGCTTATGATCTGGATAACAGAAAAATATTTATACTATATGGTATTTCATATATGTGCAGTATGTATTTAACACATGGCATTTTCATTTTAGTATTAAACAGTATTATAATAATAACAATAGGATTTTTTTATAAGAGTGGATGATTAGTTTCTTTATTCAGGGTTCGTACGGTCCTTAAGAGTCCTTGAAAGTCCTTAAGTATTTTTGAATCAATTTTTGGTCCTTAAAAGTCCTTAATTTCAACAAAATTCGACAGGAGGTCCTTAATTTTAATCATCTGAATTTTCTGTCTGTTTTTATGACTGCCATTCTGAATGTGAATTAGCATTTTGGATAAATATTTTTGGCGATTCATTGACAAAATGGGTGAATAGGTTCATGGGTTATAATTTGTTTCTATTTCTAATATAAAGGTGGGATACTCAAGTTTCTGAGAAGAAGTGAAACATAAGCATTTCAAAATTATTTCATTTTTTTTTAATGAAGAGCTCTTAAACAACATTTCACGTTTGGGAATGTAAATTCTTTATTAGATGGTTTCAAATTTGGCGACTTATCAATATTTTAGCGATTTTAAGATCAATTTCCATAGAAAACTTCGGAAATCTGGGGATTTTTCGACGATATTTTTTAAAAATATTATAACTTTGATCAATTTCATTAAAATAATACTAATACATCAAAATTTTATTCAAGAAATAACATTAAACTTAAACATTTTTATTTTCGCTATCATATAAAGTGACATTACTTTCGATTTTGGCAACTTATTATAAAATATTTTGAATCTGAAAAATAAATAAGGTAATAAATACTTTAGCACAATTTATGAAACAATTCTTAGCAAAAGAAAAATAGCTATGTAATTAATTAAAACTGCCTTCGTTGTAATTTTTTCATGGTGAGAGTTTTTCCCATGTAGTTGTCTCAATATGCGTCAGTTTTCTCTATGAAATTAATTTTATACTTTTCCCTCTGATTTTTTTAAAAAATATTTCAGCCTTTTTGCTGTTACAAAATTGGTTGGGGTAATTTTTCTTCGGGATTTTTGACTCTGCAACTTGCAATGTTTATAAGGATTTTAAGGCAAGATTTACGGTCCCATGAATATAGAGGATTCCAGGCAAATGTCTTCATGGCATTAACACGTAATGGATGTGTTTTACAGAAAGTTTGTGATAAACTTTTACTTTTGGGAGAATTTTTTGAAAAACAAGGAAAACATAATATTTAAATGTTTTATTTCTGATACTAGATTTTTTTTTTTCTTAATATGTTTATCTTCCCATTGTTTTCTCTACTTTTCACTAGATACAGGCATGGAAAATATCAAAAATGCTTCTAATCTTATCACATGGACAAGCAATTTATGGAAAGGAATTTTTCTATTAATAAAGAAATTGAAAACTGACAATTTAAAAGATTAATCTGATATATCTCAATGCATCGTCAGTGGCGTAGCTTGGGTGGGGCAAGGGGGGACATCTGTCCCCGGACGCAACATCCATGGGATGCCAAATCGATGTTACGAAATTTTAGAATGAAATGTTTTTCATTCTTAGCATACAGGAAGGGGCACAAAATCTTCAATTGTCCCTGGACGCTGAAAACCTTAGTTACAGCTTTATGCATTGTACACAGGGCTGGCATTATGCATTTTCCAACCTGATGCAATCTCTCTGGATCTTAAATTCTAAAATTTTGCCATTTCTTGATTTTATTGCTCGGTGTGTCACTAAATTCTAAAAATTCTGCTACATCGCTTGCAACCGGCCCATACCGTATATCATTTTATATTTATTCTGATGTTCACTCACTAAGAAATAAATTAGCTCTTTTCCTATAATCTATGTTGTTCTTTTTTAGAATAACAGAAATCTTTAATTAAATCCAATTCTAAAATGAAGAGGAAACATATTGAAAGTATTGAAAAAGAAAGAAATTATTCAAAGATATTACAGTTGTTATTTGTAAATTAAGCAGTTGTGTATAATTCAGCCTTTGCTATAATTTTTCCTCTCTTTTCCTACCAAAAAGAAAATCGCCTAGATAATTTTTTAACTAAGGTTTTGGCGTTTTAAGACAGAATTTGTTTCTTCCCTCCGCTTCCACCCTGAATTAATTCCTACCACCTCTGATAATTTGTAATTTTTTTTTTTTTTTTTTTTTTTTTTTTTTTTTTTGTTATCGTTGCTGATACTTGAATTTGTTACGCAATAACTAGGTTAAGAGTAAGACTTTGATGTCCAAATTACGTGATACTGAATGCAAATAAATTGCTGCACAGTAGCCTTCCTCGGAGGCATCACAAAATGCACAAATATCAATATAGCTTACGTCAGGAATCAAAACAAATCTCGGTATTTTTAGTTGTTGAATAAGATGTAAATCATTTCAAAGACTCTTCCATTTGTTAGCAATCTCATCACTAACAGGCTCATCCCACGATAAATAGAGTTTCCACATGTCTTGTATCAAGACCTTGACATAAATAATACTAGGAGCAAGTCAACCCGATGG